TGATGTGCACTTAGTTGCCATGTCTATTCAGTTTCCCTTCATCTGAAGCATTTCCTCTTTTTTTGTTTTTGTCTTTTCTAAACTTGACATTTTTGAAGAGTAAGGCTAGTTTTTAAAAAATCAGTTTACATTTATTTATCCATTGTTGGCCTATGTCTTTGGATTTGTCTGTTTGTTTCTCATTACTAGATTCAGGTTATGCATTTTTGGCAGGAATATGTTAGAAGTGTCCTTATTACATCATTTCAGGAGGCATATGACATGGGCCTGCTCTATTATTGGTGATGTTACTTTGTTTCCATGGGATAGGAGCTGGTCCCTAGTTTTTCCTTTCCTTTTTCTTAACAGTGAAATTACCATTAACCCTTAGTAATTAGTAAAATAAATGTATTGAAAGGTATCTGATACTATGTAAATATACATCGTGTTCTTCACAGACTTTAACACACTATGAGGAAGAGTTTCCCCTTTTTATTTATTAAACAAAGACTATTAGATATTTTTATTCTATGGGTCATAAACTATTAATATTGTTTATGCTCCGATGATCCCAGATTTGTGATTTTATGATTTGTGCAGGCTCGCCTTTGTGTCCTCCTGTCCTCATTTATATGTGTCTTACTTTCTGGTATACGATGTTCTAGGCTCATTTGAATTTCTCAGCTACACTCCTGAAATCTGCCATTTTTACAAGGAGAATAGTATTTAGCATCCAAGGGCAAAGCAATAGGTTTGGGATATTTTTGCTTCTAGGTCTTTTCAGCAAATGGAATTAAAATAAATATACAAACATACATTTATTTAAACATACATCTGTATCTATTTCTATATCCATGAGTTCATACTGATGCCTTCAATTCCAGTTCAGTACCACAGGGTTCTTCCTAGCTTAATTCCATTCTGCATTTGTAACCCCTTCTCCAACAATTATTCTCCCCTCCCCCCCAAATTAATACTTATGCAGTTGGGCTCTGAAGAGAGAGAAGAGCTGCTTTCCTAACAAGTAGAGGAGTCAGGTTATTACAAAATTAGAAGGTGGGAGAAAGCATCCCTCTCTGTTCAGATCTCTGGCCACAGTCAACTGACCATGGCCTTCCTCACACTCAGCTTTTAGCTGCACCAAACATTGAGCGAACTCCAATCTGGTGCTCCTAGCACCACCAGGCAGGCATCTAGGAATGTCTTTTAAAAAAAGTTTTATCTTTATTGTTTAAAGTATTTTAGATGTCCCCTTCTTTTTCTCATTGAGCCCTCCCCCTGAGTCCTGTCCCCTCCCCAGGTCTTTACCCCACTATTGTCTGGTAATTTCTAATTTCTTTTGTTGCTGTCCCCATCCCCCATCCCATTACCATCTGGGGACTGTAAACATTGGGGCAGAAGAAAATACATAAGTAGAAAGAAGACAATTTTCTGGGGGGAAAATTCAGAGTATTTTTAAAAGTTAAAAGGGGACATATCTGTGAAGTTATTTAAAAAATATATATTTTATTGATTTTTTTACAGAGAGGAAGGGAGAGGGATAGAGAGTTAGAAACATCGATGAGAGACTTGACTGGAATCGAACCTGGGACCCTTCAGTCTGCAGGCCGACACTCTATCCACTGAGCCAAACCAGCCAGGGCTTGTGAAGTTATAATACATATTTTCTAATTCTGGATTCCCTGAATCAGGGCATATTTAACAGAAGCACTAGAAAGCAGCCTTGACAGGCTTTTTTCTTCTTTTTTCTTTTCTTCGTTGGCCTAAGAACCTGACTCTAGCAATAGTGACAGTGAGATGGGCAGAAGTTCCTCAGGTCATGGCCCTTATTCCAGGGGACTCCAAGCTCAAGAACATTTACTAGGATTCTATTAATCAAACAACCAGTTTGGTACTTTTTTCTTAGTGGATTAACTTGACAATTCATTTAAAACACACAAACTGGATCAGCGTGTTACTCAGGCTGGGAGAAGTACATGGAGGCTCATGAACTTTAAGGATGGATATGAAAAAGGAGTTGAGCCCTTTGGTCCACTTCTTGGGTGACTGTACCAGCACATCCCCAAGTGAGTACCCCAAGTCCTGGGCACAGAGGACAAGAACCCTCTACATTCCCGGATCATATTCATGAACAGATCTTGTGAGATGCCAAGAAGAAAAAAGTATGTCAGAATCACAAAGACAACAAATATATACCTATTGGTATTCTAGATCAGATTAAACAAAAATCAGTGATAGGACCAGGAACTGAACAACTAATCCAGAATCCAGTCACTTGATTTAAGAATTAGATAGGTAAGAGAGAGATTTTATAAACTATACTGCCAGCTGTTAAAAGTTATAATAAAATAGGCATGTAATGGGGTATTTAATGTTTGTTGCCTTATACTGGAAATAGTAACAAAAAGTATCTACCATGATTTGGTAAAACATTAGGTTTTGCAAGAGTCTCACTCATATCTATATTTGAATATTCATTTTGTAGATGAGATAAAGGGGCAGAAGGATTAAGGCTGTTCAAATACATAGAGCTATCAAGAGGCAGAACTAATTTGCAAACCCAGACCTGATTTTTAACCTCATATTTTTTTACCTTCATCATTCTATTTCTCAAGACTGGGCAAAGTGGCAAAATAGGAAGGCTCTAGTATTTTAATCCATCTTTGAAGATTCATATTAACTCTAACTAATTGGTTTTTCTCCAAATTCCATATTCTGTTTGGAGTAAAATTGATTATTCCAGATGCTTTGATGGAGAATCTCTGTAAAACAATCACCAAGGGAGGAAAAATTAGGGAGAAAGCATGTGAAATTTAGTAGATCTACTACCTGTTATGTATTTGGTTCATCTTTATTGGAATCTTCTGTCAACTGTGTACAAAATTAAGGAAATTATTGAGGAAGGTGGTGTCATTGTAATTCAAAGTGATTTGTTCTAGCCTTATGCTCTTGTACTGGCTGTGGAGAAATAGTGAGACCAGGGTGTGGTAGGCTGAGGTGTAACAAGACTTAGTTATTATTAGAAACTTTGAAAAACAAAGTGCAAATTATAGCAAGGTATATGTCACCAGAAAAGAGCAGTCATTTTAGGAGATTCAGAGGATTTTGCGTAATGTTCATGGAAGAGTCTTGGTAATGTAGGGTTCATTCAGCATATTGCCAACCATGTCTATGCAACAGATGGTCCTCTCTTCCTCTTTTAAATTGTGACTTTCTTGGTACTTAGAAAAAAAAATAGACAAAAGATCCTACACTTTTTTTGCATCTCTACTAGTCTTCATGTACTTTGCATAGAGGAACAGGAAAAGTAAGATCAATTTAGAAGACAAAAGAATGACATCTTACATGAATTGCTGCTAATTTGGAAGAAGAAAATAAACACAAGATAATGACATGGAAATTAAAACTCTCTTTCCTTCAACAGAAGAAAATACTATTTTCTCCTTAGTCTTCTAGTAGTTTGGGATGGTAGTGCTAATTCATCAGTAAAATGATAATTAGACTTAATTATCTGCTACTTTGCCTTTTAGTCACAATAGAGGTAGAATATACACAAAAATTAACTGCATCAGTTGCAAGAACAAATTATCTTTCAAAATTTTTCTTTCTTATATCCAATGTTTACACCAAATACTTGATATATTTTTGTATGCAACCCAGAATACATAAAGGAAACTTTAGTTTCACTCATGAAGTAGAAATCCTGATAATGCAGGATTTTGAAATTCATTTAACTCAGCAGTATATTGCTATAAGCGTGCTCTGGTTTTCTTTCACTTATTAAAGGACATTCCAAACTTTGTCCTCATCCTACATAGACATATAGAAGATGTGTAAATGAGCTTTATTTTCAGCCACTTTGGATGGGTAATAATGGTAAGTTATTCTCAGGCAATCGAAAGGAATCATCGTTTTATATCTTTGATCTTGAATGGAAATGTTAGATTTTGCATTGATTATGGAGACTAGCTATCAAAGTGACTTTATTCATTGAACTATGGAAGATGATGAAATATATCATTGTAGTTTTGTGTTACAGAAGAAAAATACTTGGTATCCTAAGCAACTTGCAATGTTGTAAGGTAGACCCCAAAGATATGGTGTAAAATAAAGGGGAGGATGGCAAAGCAGAAATTCTCTGAAAATAAAGGGGTCATTTTTAGTTTTAGGGCAACCCAGCAGCTGGGTAAGTGAAGCCTTATTTTTATGTGTTATCCCTACCACCTCAGGTCGGTTCTTTTTGTAGACTCTGCAAGTACCACCATGTGAGGGAATCCCACATTGCTATCATTTCAAGGATGGTTGTTCTAAAACCAATGGAAAAGAGGTGTGTTTGCAGCAGTAACTACCCAGTTCTCTTTTACAGAAACCAACCTTAACCACTCATGAAACAAGTGTAATGAAGCTCCTTAAATTTACCAGATGCCATTTACTTCCTTGTACCAAGTAAGGAAATACAGATCAAATGGGGACCATTTGTTAGGTGATATTTACCATGTTAAAAATTATGTTCATTAAGTTGTTAGGAAGTATGCAAATGCATGTGTATAATCCCAACAGAGTGTTATCATGGGCCCAAATAATAAATGAATATATGGAAAGAGATGACAACTAGTTTAGACCTAAATTCTGCAATATCAGTTCACAGAAAATGGTGTACCCTGATAATTTATTCGAGTTAATTTTTTTTTAAGCTTGGAATGAAATAATTATTTAAAACATCTGTATGTCTTATTTTTACATTTTGATGGTACCACCTCATTTTCCACATAATTTGGAAACCAAATTAGAAATGAGGCTATAAACTCAAATAGTAAACTGGGCTGGGTCAAATGATGTGACTATAATATTTCATAATGATGGAACATCCTAGTAAATATAATAATTGAAAGTTTTTTTCCAACCTTCCAAACTTCTGGAAATCAAAATTATCAACATGTATCAGGTGATAATCAGTCATTTTACCTGAAAATAAGGAGAGACGTGAATCTTCAGAAATGTCAATTGACCAAACCAGTATGTGCAGAAATTAACTTTTTTTATTATATATCATATAATGTAGTAGTAAAGTTTGTTTGAAGTGCATGAATAAAAAGTTAGTGAAATTACAGGAGGAACAATCTATATAGCAATAATAGGTGCATTCCCTGTGCATCTGAAAGAAAGGAAAAAAAAAAAAGAGTTTTCACTCATTTTGGCCTAAAACTTAGTGTTCAGGTTCCCAGGATTCTGACATCAGAACCCGGATAACACTGATTAGAACCATAGGGGCTTTACAATAAAAGCTAAAATATTGACCATATGATGGCAAAAAGTCTTAGTTTGTGGTTAACTGATTCTCTTCTAGCTACTCTCTGATGAAGTTGGTGGCGCTGTGGAGGAGGACCGCCGCCTCCTGGACGAGGACCGGGACCGCTCGGCATTGTAGGCGACATGCTTGTCGTAGTTCTCCATCTGAGCCTCAATGAAATCTCTCTGCTGCTGTCTGATGGTCTGGCTGATGAGCCCAGGGAGGGCGTGGATGCTACCAATCAAAGTCTCTAATTTCGTTTCCAGGGTAACAATCCTCTTCTCGAAGTCTTCACTCCTTTCGTTTAAGTCGGAAATCATGTCATACATGATATTCTGGGTCTGGAAAACAGGATTGAGAGGGATAGAAAAACAAAGAACTAAGTCTTAATTACACGGATCCTCAGAGCTTGAGGGCTGGTCTCCTTTTGGGGACAATCAGTGCAACAGGGGCGGGGCATCAGCTAACTGGACACTTTACTAGTATCTTGCAAAGAAAATTTCAGGGTATGAGTGTGTTTGATGCCAGGACTTAGAATTGTAATCTCTTAGGCATTAATTAGATCCAGGCCCTGAAAATATTGTGCAGGTACTGTAGGTGGTATGTCCAATGATTTCTGGTGTACACACAGACAAACATGTTTTGATTTTATATATGTATATATATATTTTTAATGATTATACAAATGTTAGTGCACCGCACTCATTTTGTAATGTGTAATAGTAATTAGGGCAATGCTAATTTTTTAAAACAGGAGATTTTAGAAAAACAAATAATAATATGGATAGTATTAGGATGTAGCACAAATTCTAAGGGTGGAAAACAAAGTTTAGGACAAACTGACTTGATTGTGTAATTTAGGAACTTAAAGCTGTAAAAAACTTCTTAATATCTTTTGCTGTCCCATGTTTCAAATTAGGGCTCTCTGTGGGTTAAAGAGCATTTTTACAGATAATCAATGAGAGAATAAAAAGTTGGTGATACTGAAGTTACCAGGCTACCTTGTTGGCTATGGTTTAATCAGATGCTAAATGGTTTGAAATGGAAGATGTTTTTGGTATCCTAGTGAATTTTGCAATTGATTGTCTTGATCAGGGGCTGTTCATGACTCTGACTCCCAGTTATATTTCCAGAAGTATCCCAGAGGCTCTCAGGGATGATTGACATAGAGGTAGAGAGGGGAGAGGGTGGCCAGGAAGGGAAGACTGGAGATGTAAGCCTTAGGTCCATGAAGTTTTCCCCAAGTCGCAGTCCCCTTTCTCTGAGCCTTCCTTCTTTTACCTCATTTCCCTTTGCAACGTGTGCTCTTTTCCTGCTGAACCAGCCTATGGAACATTCTCCTAATGATGATAAATGGACTGACTATATAAGGAAGTTACTATTCAGAACACAGACAGCTAGTTTGAGTTGGGCCATGGAGACAAAATGCATTAACTTTTTTTTTTTTTTACTATGTAGTATTGAGACTATGTGAACAATATCCATTCATTCAGAAAATATTGAACCCTTGTGGCATAGACAGTGTTGCAGTCATAATAATAAGCATGGCACCAAAGAATTAATTAAACAGTATTCTTTATATATCTTAAAGAATATAAAGTAAAATCATATAGCTACTATATATAACAAATATTATATCGTAAGTAAAATGATATATATATCATGATATAACATTTATTATTTCCAAGTGGTCTTTTTTTATAAAAATTCCTAATTTCTTTTATTATTTGACATAGGAGCGATGAAAGAGCTTGCCTCATCTTTGTTCATGAAGTATCCAAGCAAATGTCATGTGTAAATACTAACCAAGGATGTTTCTGAGCCTCATATGTGTGCTTCCCAGATTAAATGCGTGATATATACTCTCCCAGAGGTAAGTCATTAAATACTTCACTTATATTCTGCTTCTGAGATATCAAATATTCATCTTCAATATTTATATCTTATGTGTTACTGATATACATGAAAGTGAATATACTTTAGATGTATTATTTCATGATACCAGAAATAGTATGTGTGGATTTTATAGATTATACTTGAGGTTTTACAAATGACACAGCTGATTTATCAAACAACTGAACGTACAGGTCCAATTGAGAGTTGCCTCTTTCAAAGCATTTGTATTAAAAGGCTGAACACACATAAATGCTATCCTAATCCCATCTTTAGAATTAGTCCAAGAAAATGCAATGTTGTGATTGTTGACAAATATTCATATTTTAAAAGTGGAGTTTACTTGGAAGAACAAGCAAAAATCAACCAGATACAGCTTATAAATGTGTCAGAAGAATTTGGGAACTATTAATTTTTAAATTATGAAATGGAGAAAGAACCATAAGTTACACAAAAGTGATACCTTTTTTTTGAAAGACAACTTTCATGCTAAGATGTAATTTCTGGTATTTTAATTTAAATGTACATTCTTTTGATTTTGCTTAAAATATATTAAAAAATGTTTATTGTTGAGTCCTACTAAGCCTCATAGTTAAAACCAAGATGTGGTTTTGTTCTCATAGGGATGAGACTGAACTACAAATAAGAATCCCCAAGGTATTGTCTCCTATTCCACTTACATTTCTTAACGTTGGTCCAAATCACTGCAAGTAGAAAAGCTTTTAGAATGCAGATGAATAATGGATACAGGCAGGAAAAGAACATATTAAGTAAGAGTTAAAAAAAAATTCTTCTAAGTTGGACCATCATTTTTGGGCAGTTGGTTGGCTGACTTGTTAAATAAATTTAGGGTGGCCCCTGTGTCAGCATTATTAATTACTGTGCCATGGTTAATTCCAACAGATGCACTCATGAGGCCTGAGACCCCAGCTTACCTTTGCCAGGTCCACCAAGGTATTTGCTTGGTCATTCAGTTTCCTCTGCTCCATTTTTACACTTCGTAATCTAAAAGACAGAATCTGAAGTCAGAAATGTTTCTTTCTCTCTATGGCTATCATATGCCTTCCAAAGAGCATGCACAAAATTGACAAGGGAAATAACTGCATGGATAATGCCTCAAATATTTGGGGTAAAGTCCAAACTGGTTATGTATCTGCTACAATGAGAAGCATGCTTCCCCAACACCGCAAAAAGGAAAGGAGAGAGAGTAAGGGATGAGGTGTCCATAGGACAACTGTTCACCAGGTAGTTAACATTGAATTAAGAAAGGCTCATAAGGAATTAACCATATGAGAAAAGCCAAAACATTCATTAAAGCCCCAGTATCGTGACAAATAGACATAGGAAGAAATATGCAAAGCAACTGGAATTGCATCACTGTTAGAGCAGTGAGCACCTTCCTATGCCTATGTGACTAGATACAGGTGTTAGCCCTGTTTAGTCTGAAATGGATTGGGTTAGGTATTTGAACCTGATGAGACACAGTGATAAGTGAGATTCTTATTAGCAAAAAATACAACTTTTATTCAACCAGCAGCAAGACAACTCAAAACACATAATTCTCTTATTCTTCACCTGACTTTTATCTTAAACTGCCATTGAACTTGAAGAGAAGCCAGACCATTTCCTTGGGAGAATTTCCCTTTTTATTGTACATAAAAGTCAGAGGACAATTAAAGTATCTGACAGATGGGATCGTTACTTATAAAGTTACTTTTAGATACTTTTAAATACCATTGCATATATCTGATAGTTAAAAAGCCACTGTTATAAAAAATCTTTCTGAATGAGAACTATTCCTTAATTCATTTATTGTAATATTTTAACAAATACTTAATTCAGTCTTTAATATGGTACCAAGAAATTAAGATTTTCCAACAAAAAAGTGCCATTTTGTTCTTTAAGCCAACAATTCAAAGCCTTGCTCCAAAAGAGAAGCAGGTCTCTCTGAACTACCTAATAAAAAATATATATATATCTATGCTAACCTTTTTACTTTGCTGATGAATAATTTTACAAAGTGTAGTGGTAATACTGAAGAGAATACTTTTTATTATTTCCCAAATTAAATTAAAGGTAATTACAAAGAAGAAAAAAATATTCACAGGGCAAGATTTTACTGCCAGGGAGATTTTTGTAACAAATGTTCCCGATGCTCAGTGATTTTGTTCTGAAACTAGGATATCCAATATGTCACCAAATCTGCTCTACAGTGAAGATATAGTTCCTTCTGCCAGGAAGAATTTAACTGACACCTGCCTACATCATGCTCTTTAGCAATCTTCAACAGTTTAAGGTTATAACTTGTCATTGCGACTGTGTTTATAAGAACGGCTCCTTTTCATGCTATTATAGAGATGGAATATGTCCTAGTCTAAAAGAGTTTTACAAACATAGATTTAAATTTAATATATTGTTGAGAAATGTTTCCTTAAGTATTTACAAGGGTTTCAAGTCTTGATGTCTGCCTCTTAAAAAAAAACAAGTCAAAAACAAAAACAATCCCCCCTTTAAAAAAAAACACACAAACTTTAAATATGTGTGACTTACTATAGAGAAATGTAGCAGAGAGAACCACAATGTCAGACATGGATTCCACCCTTTCCCTGGCCCTAAAGTGACCATCAATTTCTTCATGCATGAAATAAAGTGGGCTAGGTTATTATAATGTTTCCAAGGTGCTGGATTTATACCAAGAGGTACTCTAGATGACTAAGACATTAGACAATACTAAAAGAGATGGAGAGAAAGTAATTCCCTTTAATTCTCTTCTAATTCCTGATTATTATAAGAAAAAGGTCTTAGGCCAGCCCTATACTGTTTTTATCTTCTAACACATGCTATCTTCTTTTTTAAAAAGAAAACAGCGAGCAGGCTTTCAGCTCAGAGAGTTTCTACAGATAACAGCCTGTGGGTAGAATTCAGTACCAGTGTTTCAATTGTCAATTGATATTGCTTTTACCTCTCTTTGCTGAGAAGGATATATTTCTTATCCATTTATGACAGGGATTTATATCAAGCTTTCTTTTCAAATTTAAGTAATAGTATAGTTGGTACATGAATGCCTGAATTTGGGGTCACCAGACCAGAAACCTCCAACAACTTATGAATGCAGAGAAAGTCCTGGACTCGGCAAGTCTGGAGGAGGGTCCAGAGCTGGTCCCTTGGCTGAGGTGAGTACATCATGTTCCAATCAATGGAGCCTAATTTTCTTCTCCTGGATTCCTAGATTATGTTTCTGACAGTAGAATTTTGCCCATTTTATTTTCTACTAATCTGGAAAGCTGACCTAGAGTAGCCCTATTTGATTGGAATTCCTTTCGCTGCTCCCTGAACTTAAAGTGTCTCGCTTTGTTGCTGCTTAGACTGCCTGTGGTGTAGAACTGGTAGAAAAAGCCTACTGAAGCTGCAGCTGCCAGAATAAAAGGTAACACGCAGATGTGTATTTTACATTTTTCTCCCCCCCAAAGAATAAGAAACATATGTTGATTTCTTCCTTGTGAACTTCACTTATCACAGGAAAATATCATGATTTTGGATCACATTTCCATAGCAGCAATCAGACTACTAAAATTCACAAATAAAGGATCCGCTTGGGTGCATGCAGCCGGTAGAGAATTCTGCAAATGTTGACGGAGCGGCTCACACAACTTACTTCCGAGCTCTATTTTCATTTTGTTGAAATAAAAAGACAAAACAAAAGAAAAGAAACTGTGAAATACTCTGGAACAAAATAACACAGTGTGGTGTTCAGTGGTGCACAAGGGGCTCGATTCATTGGCTGGAAGATCCTGTTAAGATTCTGTAGGATTTTGGCATATTGATCAAAGAGAAACACTATTCAATATATTATCATCCATCTTCATTGCTGCTATTCTTCCCCCACCCGAAAGCCCATAGTTTCCTCCAGAACTAGAGTTCAGAAGGAAGAACTTGTATCATGACATCTTGGCCTCTCTGAGATAGAATGTTTAAGGAAACATTTTTGCCTAATATGAATGCAAAAATGTTTAAGGGTTGAAAGGATAATATTCTAAACAATAGGATTATAATGATGTGGTGTGTGTGTTTTTTTTTTGAAGGGTATATCTTTTCTGAGTTGGGGCTGTTTAGAAGCCTGGCTTTCTGAAAGGTAGGTAATGCAATACTCGATATGTTATAAAAATTGTTTGTTGAATTTCTTGGCTCTGAGACAAGTTATACTGATTGATGGGCCGATAGAGGTGAGATAGAAGAAGGATAAACTTTAAAGTTAAAGCTGCTACCAGAAAAAGGGTGAAATGTTATAGAAACAGATTGCTTCGTGGCACTGAGTGACCATCCACAAAGACAGATATGTTACTGAGAAGAGGACACAGCCTACAGAGTTCGGCTTCCATCCGAGACTAGAGAGGGCACGTGTCGGGGAGAAAGGCTATGAAGCTTGGAAAAGAGAAAGATTTGAAATAGAGGGGGACTGGCAGAAGGGGAGAGAGAGAGCTATTGACAAAGCTCTCAGGACAAATCAGAGAATAGGAGAGGCCAGGAGAGCTCTACCAAATGAGTTTGTCAATTTTTCCTCAACTAGCAAAGTCTGACTTCACCCAGTGCTGACACACAAGGCTGACAGTCTCACTGGGTGTGAACAGTGGGCAATAAAGGCCTTGCCCTTAGGAATCGAGCCCTGTGTGCTTTCCTTTGTGAGTTCACTAACTTAAAATGAAAGATAGTTAATGCATGATTAGAATCAACTAGCCAAACCCAGCCCACATAAATTCTCAGGTGTACTTTTTCACAAAGTACAAGGTCCCTCCCACCTCAAAGGAAACCCAGTCACCCAAAGACTAATTTATAAAACAATTCAGAACATTTTTGAGTTGCTTGAAACTCATCTGCTTTAGGAGTATACACTGCTACAGAAGAAACAGAATAAGAAATGTCTGCAAGAAGCAGAGGAATAATGCATGTTTTTCTCCTCTATTAGTCTATCCAAAAGAAGCATGCTGAAGGAGCCACCAAACCCTTATGGTCAGGTCAATGCACCAACAGCTCAGGGACAGTTTTTAAACTTGGCTCACTGAAAGATAATTTTCCTGACAGTTGATTATGAAAAATTTCAAACCTATAGCAAAGTGGAAAAGATTGTATAGTGAACACCCTTAAATTGTCCCCCAAATTTTTGAGTGTGAATATATTCAGACTTAAGAGCTCTGGGACAACGTAAATACCCACCATTTACACATGGCTACAGAATTATGTTACAAAAAAACTGTCAAAGCATTTACAAAAGAATATAAAAATTTATCCAAGGCGTCAAAGGCAAATCACATTTAATTATACATTTAGTAGGTCACAATGACAGAAAGGGACACAAATACAATCCTGGAGGAAAGGGGATGTGTGGCTGCTGGACACGTACAGTGACTGAACTCGCTCACTTCCACGTCATCTCACTCCCACACAGGTGAGTTTTCTTTTTAATATATTTAATATATTTTAGTATGTGTTAGTCTTGGAAAATTAAAAGTGCAGAGAATGATTTCTCCACAGCATAGCATGCGTGCCCCTTGTGTGAATGTTGGGGTTACTGTGTTTCATGGTTGGGGTGTGGGAGAGTTGTGTCAGGTGGCCCTTGGGGAAGAAGCTTGTCCTCAGAAAGGATGAAAGGCCTGATGAGAGCAGAGGTGACGGCTCAGCATCTGTCAAGGGCCTCACTCTCTTAGCTCCGAGCTTCAGGGAATGGAGATGTCTAGGTAAGTGCTCCTAGGTGGTGGGACCCAGTCACAGACAGCTGTGAGCTCCAGGGAGCAACTCTCTCTTGGGAGCCACATCAAATACAGTGTTCCTCTCTTGCTCTTCCCTTTTACTCTTTCCCAGATGTTAGAGGAGTATTATCTTAAAATCCTAGCTTTCCTGGGTAAATAGCATAGTCTGTATCTAGACGAGTCACAGAGCTTAAAGGAGGAATGATGTCCCTTTGGTGTTGGTGGCAGCAAGGAAAAGAGCGTGAGAGACTAGCACGGAGGGCCAGCTACTCCACTGCGTGTTCAGGCTCCCTCTAATTTAGGTCTCCGAGTACGTGAATTCTCTTTTCATTAAGAAAGCTGCAATTTCTCTATAGTCCATATATGACCATAATTATAGACATATTCTACATTTTCAGTGATACTTAGTTAAAAGGGGAAGTTGGTTGGACAGGTCATATGAATGCTTAGTGATTTCTCACAGAATGTTAGTGAAATATAAGACATGCAAATTATCTAAATATAGAAAATGAAAACTCCAGCCTCAGAGTTTTCTCCTCTGCTGTGCTAGTTAGCTCTCGAAGACATTTCACTGACTAGTCAAGGGACCTAGTACTTCCCCACCTTCCTATGATTACCCCGGGAGTTTGCATGAGGACAGCCACTTTGCTGACCCACAAATGTGACCATGCCTGCTCTTCCCCATTTGGAAATGGCATTAAGAGCAAGTCTGTAGAGCATCACAATGGACACCCACGTGAATGTACTTACGGGAAGGATGCCGCCAGCCTGGGGGAGAAAGCCCTGGTGCTTTCAGATTATCACTGAAGCTCACTAGATATAAATCTGTACTTTAACGTCTGTGATAGTGATATAATGTATCAATGAAATGGCATGAAAGACTTGAACTCTGGTGGCCTGAATAAAGCCAGGACAATGATAAAAGAGCACAGGGTCCATAGGAACTATAAAATCTACAATGAACACGTAGCACAGAGAAAAACCCCAAGTCCTGATTAAAAACTCATTTAAAAATTCAAGTAGTGAGTCAACTATAGTACTGCCTTCATATAAAGATGCTTGACAGAGTATTAAAAAAATCCAGACAATAAAATGTTAATATTTTTCAAGTTTTTGCAGTAGGTACAAACTAAACATGTTAGAGCAAACTATAGAGCAAACTATATGAATGTTAAATTAAGAAACACAATTTTAACTGAAATTATCGCTTCTAAAGAAACCGAGAAGACATTCCATTACTATATATATTAAATGACTATTCTCCCAATAATAAATGATTCCTAATCATACAAGAACCGACAACTTTGCTCAGGATTTCATTTATGAAATTATTAAATTGCCAAATACCGTCCTCTGGGAACAAGCCTGACGACGTTTTCTTTTTTTCCTCCCTCACGAGAGAAGAATAACCAAGTGCTAGAATTAAAACCTAGAGATACGAAAGCAGGAGGAAAATGAAGAATGGTACTTACTGATGAATAGCTTGCAAGAATTTTCGTTGATGTTTTCTTACTTTTGCATGATCTATCTTTTTTACTAGCTTTGTATTTTTGTAAATTAGCCATGTTTCCCTGAGTACATTGGCAGCTGCGTTTTTCACCTGTTAGGAAAATAAACAAAAAAAGCAGTTGATAAATTCCAAAGCGGAATCCTTTGCAACTTGGCTGGGGGGTCATAGTCTTCACCCCAATGATCATGATAAGCTCTCGCTCTGTTTAGTAACTATGTCTCAAAAATTCTTTTTTACAGAAATCTAAAAGTTTAAAAAACAGAATATGCATGGATCTAAAAAGTACCAGTATCTGTGTGGGAACAATATTTAAACTGAAATATTAGGGAGCTACTGATCTCTTCCTGGGCCAAACTCTACCCTATCAGGGACTTTCTTTTCATTCAACCACTTAAAAAAAAATCAAGAGGTGTTTATTTCTCCACCCTGTGTTGCAATTGTTCTCTTGGTGTTCTTCATTTCCCTGGAGAAAGGCAACATGCCAGAAGGCCAAGGTTAATCTTGCCTTTGCGAGCCTGCTCGGCATGTCTGGCTGCACACGATAGGAAGGAGGGCACATTTCCACTGCGGATCGTACAGGGGACCCAGTCTCCTAGCTCCCAGAGTGTCTTAGCAAACTGAGTTTGTAAGCCCACTTAATTAATTGACAGACGTCTATGTTGTCATGATTTTGTTGGTAATTGAAATGTATACTTCATTTCAAATGAATGGGACAAACCTAAGGATGAAAGCATTACAGTAGCACTGCCAAGACCTGATGGAAGGTGTGAATACTTCCTAGAGATGTTCAACCCGAAGACCCAGAGTTTTCGTGTGGGCTTCTTGTTGTTGATCACCTACTCTCAGAACAACCATTTGAGAGAGGCATAAAGATGTTCACATGGAGAGTTGCCAGCTAGTGGGGGACTGGGTGGAGGCAGACAACGCTTTAAGGACGGCTTGTGGTGGGGAAGACAGAACAGTGAGCTGGGCTGGAGTACATGCTGGTCTTTCTACTAACCAAGTCCAGTCAAGGGGGCTAGCTAACCTTGTACGACTTTTGTTTCCTCCTCATTATGTGAGGTTCAAGAGAAATATTAGTAAAGTCCTTTTAGTCCTTAAATTTACAATAAGAAAGAACCTTAGCATTACACTAAGATTATGGGCCCATGTCCGTATGTATATTTTTTCATGTTAGCCTTTTTCATGGTGCTAAAAAGTTTTATTTTTGAGTGAAACTGTATCCCTAGAACCTATTGTAAGAAAATGACTGGTTTCCTAAAATTGCTTTTAGGAGTAGATTTTGGTCACATCCTCTGGACATTCATCAGCCTCTGCATGGACAGCATTCTGAAACCAACAGAACAGCGACTGACACGTTAGGGACTGAGCGCCAGCCGTGCGGATGAGGAAAGTTGCCACCGTCCACAGGGACGTTCAAAGGTGTTCCAGGTAATTCTTGGCTCTTCATTCTTATAGAAACACATTTCTCTTCCTCACAGAGGTAGGAGTCACCTTTCAGAAGGCTCTTCCATCTGACCCTTGTACGACCTTTTCAGAGGTAAGGAGCTGGATGCAGTATACCTTGTTGACTTCAATTTCAGAATTCAATGGGGTGAGTGATGCCTGAGGCCTTATGTTGCAGTATTTGTATTCACTCATCTTAGCTGACAGGCTGAAACCGAAAATGACTTCTCATTTGAAAGTAAAATCCCTACAGTTGCTTTTAAAAACCTGTTAAATATACATATGTATGCATTCATGTTGAAACATCCCCTTTTATAATTCTTTAATAGGTTTTCAAACATAGGAATTAACCTCTCAAAGCATCAAATTTAACTGATATTTTTCAAAAATAGCAGCCACAAAACAGTATGTCCACAAATAGAAAAAGGTATCCTTTGCCTAATGGTCAGGTGTGTTTCTAGTAGGTTTTTCCAGTCTCTCATAGGAATGAAAGGGAACAGCAGACAGGGAGACGACAGGGTGGAAAGCACTTCAGTGTTTTATAGGTTTGAACTGTAGGGGATTGTTACGTGAAAGTGATCCGCAAACTTGCAGGAGAAGCAGGCTCTATGCATTTCTGATCATTAGCATGAAAGAGAAGTGCATGGGGGGGGGGGGGGGGGGGGGGGGGGGGGGGGGGGGAAGTGTCCCTGTTTGCACAATTAAGAGCCCTAAGGTCAGTCATCTAATAATGTAACCCTGGAGCTCCTACTCCAGTGGTTCCCAACATGGGGCACATGCCCCATGGCGGGGGGGAGGCAATTCGAGAATGAGTTAACAGTGAATTTTTTGCATTTCTTATGGTTCTAGGGGCCTCATATACAGTATATAAATATATATTGTGACATATTTGTGCACTTCAGTTCTCTAGTACATGTTTTGAAACTTTATTTGCTATTTTTTCATATCACTTCAATTATTAAACAATTTCTTAGTGATTTCTTCCTCAGTATTTCAACTGTCTTTTGTTCTTTTATTTTTCTATTTCATGGATGCCATGTTCTTTGGAAGCTTGTTTAGACCAAGTTAATGGCCTTTTAGGCTTCCTCCATGTGAATAGGAGTTCACTTTTTGAATAAGAATTATATGTCACGGCGGGGGGGGGGGGGACAATCAGGATTTTAGAGATGCTTAGGTGGGGCATGGCCAAAAAAAGGTTGGGAACCACTGTCTTACTCCTTTTCCCAGGATGTTCACAAATGCTTGGAGGGCAGGGGCTGTGTCATAAATCTTTGTGTCTCCCTAGCTCAGTGCCTTGGCCCTAGAGATGGTATGAAATAAATGTCTCCAGGGTTAAATTTGGCACCAGAGTGTGTATAATTTGCATCATAAACACTTCTGATCAGGAAGCAAATGAATATTTATCAGCCAAAGGATCCTCTTGGAAAGAAGGCTGTACAGGTTAGAGAAGAGATCTAAAACCTAAATGGGTCAGTGCATTTCCATGTTTATTGAGTCTCCACCACATGCTAGATACCATGATAGTTTGTATGAGGAATTCACAAATATACTCAGAAATTTAGTGCCAGTTAATGGGCCAACAGCACTATGAAATCTAACTTATTTCCTATATTTCAAAAAATAAGGAGAGTGAGAGGAGGATTCTTTCTTAACAGGAAAGGACTCTGCCTCCTCTCTCATCCCCCCTCCACACACACAGGGGAAAAGGAAAATAACATTTGTTCTGCCTCACTAATGCTCAACTCCAATTCAAATCTTTTATCAGAAATACTTGAGAGGCCGATTAATAATCAGATAGCTTAATAATTTGAGAAAAGAAAGGCCCTAAAATAATTTATACTACTAAAAGTAATACCACTTACCCAGATGCCTTAAACCCACTTTCATGGGTATAAAGGATGTGAACTGTTATATTGCTGACTCATAGGTAATTATAAGATATTAAAGCCATAAAGTGTAACAATACTTTATCAACCACAAAAGCACTTAATGCTGATACTTTTAACTGACAATTTGCTTTGTTCAACCGTAAATGACACATGTAATTAGAGCACTGTTTAAAAGAGTACTTTGTTTATAGTTTTCCTTTCCTTTATATTACTGTGACTTTTTTTCAACATATATTGCTTTGTTTTTCTTCCTCTTGCCTCTCCCTTCAGAGGCTTAAGTGCAGTATTTCCACTCCTCCTGAATGTAAGGGAAAGGAACATAATCTCTGATAAGGAGGAGAACAGTTTTGTTTTTTAAAGAAAACCATTTTTTTAAACTTACTTTCCAATTACAGCTGACATATAACACAATCGTTTCAGGTGTATAACATAGTGATTAGACATTTCTATACTTTACGAAGTGATCACTCCTATAAGTCTAGTACCTACCTGGCACCAAATGTAGTTATTACAATATTACTGGCTATATTTCCTATGCTGTACGTCCCCATGACTATTTTTATAACTGGCAATCTGTACCTCTTGATCTCTTTCATCTTTTCCCACCCCAACCAAGCAGGGGAGTTTCTTGCTTCTCAATCTGGAAACTACAGTAAAATCCTGCCACATATGCTGAGGGTGATGCCCAGGACAAATACAGACAATGCTACTGAGCCTGTGCACTGGGATGTCACGTGCTCTCAGGGCTCTCACCGTGCCCACCGAGTTCTCCTATAGACCAGGTACGGGGTGGGTGAATGCTATGACTGTGGAACAGGGCAAGGTCAAGGGATCCATTCCTTTTGTGTTTCAAACCACTGGGCTATGTGGCTAAGGACAATGTCAGCGCTACATAGAGTAAATCCTCTAGAATTTCTGTTCCCATGTTAAGAGACACACAAGCAACAAAATTACATAACCACATAATAGTGTTCTTATTATGGATCTTATTGGGAATTCTTAATAGGATTGGAAACACCCACAGTGGACATTAATATGTATAATTATCCTTCGTGGTATATCCAGCTATATTAAAAATTTGTTCTTTCCAAAATGAAAGGATTCAGAGAGCTGAACTCCAAGATTTCCTCTTGGTTCAGACCTAAATGAATAGTAATAATATATTGCAAAAAAATACAGGTGATAAAGTTCAAGTCTGTTAGATAGCTGGTCCTCTCATACTAAGCCCAGCAAAAAAATACAGCATGATAAATACTACTTCTGTGAGGTGATAAAGTTCTAGTCTGTTAGATAGCTGGTCCTCTCATACTAAGCCCAGTGACATGTTATGGCTATGATGCTTTCCTTTTGAAATCATCAGATTATCCTGTGTACATGTACCTATAGGCCACTTCTAAATTGCAGAGTGTCATGTAAACTTTTGGAATTATATAAAACTCCTTCATGCTGCTGCCCAATGAGTAGTGTGTCCTACTTTCAAATACAGTATTTTATATGGTTGAGGTAGTCAAACAGAGAAACAAAGTCGTGTTTTCAGGGGATAGTTGAATTTTATATTTTTAATCTTTCATCTTAGCAACTATGTACGTTTTCTAGGTCCTCATCTACTCTTGGTTATCCCCCAGGAGTCATTCATTAATGATCATTAAATATTTTAGACTTTTTATTTAAAAAGTTAAAAATTCTAAATGGGCCCATTTAGACATTCCACAAATAAGTGAATGGAATCAAGTTTCAAGTAAATAACACTCATTAAGTCGATGACTTTGTATAAAATAACTATTATTTTCGAATATTGTATTGACTATAATATCAATATTACAGTATTCTAAGCTAGAAATTTACCTTTGGTTCTAAGGCCAGTTAAACATTTGTACCTGTACTTAGCGACATGTTGCCTATAAAAGCCAATCTGTCAGCAAGCCTGCTGGATGGAAAGTCTTCTCAAACCTATAAGAGACTGGTCCAAAGAAATAGGCAGAGTAGCTACCCTTTTAAGTAGGAATGAGATAAACAGAATTAATGAAGCACCGTGGAGAATTTGAAACTAGAACAGCATTTCTTACAAACAATCTGACTCATAACAGAAAATTACCAATAGGGAGTTTATCTAAAGTAACTAAGAACTTAACTGGACTTTAGGGGACTCGTGAGAAAGAACACAAGTGCATTTTGGCCAAGTAGAGAAAAAAACAGAGCCTTCATCCAATTTGCTTAAAAGAACAGTACTATAAAAGCATAACAGTCTCTGTCTCCTAGAATATGATATTTCAGCTGTCTATGCTTAGCAGTTAACACAGAACCCCAACTATGGTAAGTATATAGTATATTTTTGTTAAATGAATATCTATTAGTCCCAGGAAGGAGATTACAACAAATTCAGTACACTTAAAGATTATCTGTTAAAAGGAATTATCTCAGTCTCTGAATCCTTGGGCAATAACAAGCTAAAGCAGTGGTTCTCACTGTTGCAATTTTGTACCGTTAGGGGACATTTGGCAATGTCTAGAGGCAGTTTGGATTGTCACAAATGTGTGTGCGGGATATTTCTGCTGGCATCTAGTGTGCAGAGGACAAAATGCTGATAAACATCCAACAATACACAAAGTCCTGCAAGGCAATGTATTATTCGGTCCTAAAGGACAGCAGTGCTGAAATAACTAAATTAAAAAACCAACCTGGAATGGGAAGGACTCTGAACTTCACAAAATTCTTTAATCAAAGGCAGTATATAATAATGTTACGCTGTAGGTTTTAAAAATCAAAGCCTTTGTCTTTTCTAAAATGCTTTAATAATGTGGATATGGAGTATCAATATCCCAAAGTAAATTTAAAGGAGTTACTTATTTTCTTTAAGATAAAAAACTAAATGCCTGCTTGTGAACCAGGGGGAAATCTGCCTAAGCGTGACAGTTGGTTTTCTTATTTGTGATTCTGTCACATTTTTTTCTTCACTGTTGAAAATACTTATATACGGTGTTTTAAGGTATTTTTCTGCCTAGTATCTTAAGTGTGGCATTAACTTAATTCCTGGAAAGAATGTAATATCTTCATGGTAAAATTATTTGGATTATGCTCGCACTTTAAGGGTTCTTTTGATATTGTACAACTTCTGTCTCTTAAACATAAACTGCACAGTACAGAACTCATCCAAACAAGTACATGATGAGATAGATAAAACATCTGCTACAATTTTGGACTAGATGTGAACACACAATAATCTAATGTGTGTGTGTTTTCATTTCCCAGTACGGTATATCTTTGAAAATGACAAGAACCTAACTCTCCATTCAGCTCATTTACCTCTTCGTCTACTCTCCAAGTGCTTTTCTGTAACATTTAGAAATTAGTTTGGAGAATGAATTCAGGAGTTGAGCGAATATTATGTAGAGTAGATGTTCCAAAGTGGTAAATCCAGTACGAAAGCATGACATCTAGATGATCATGGCTTTGATCATCCAGAACGTATGTGGACTTGCTAACTGCAATGAAGTCTCACAATAGTGTCTGACAGGTGAGACATAACTTATCAGGGCAATTGGAATTCATCTTTCCATTTCATAAATATTATCCAAACAAATAAAATATGCATTAAAGTGACTGATTTATTAGGAATTATTTTACCAAATTAAACATGATTACTTTTAAACACAGAACCAAAGTCAAAAGTGAGCAAAAACTCTGAAAATGGAACTCTGCTTGAAATCTCTATTGTTTCTTTTATGAATGAAGTTACCAAGTGACCGTGAATTTTGTTATTTTAATGACAGCCTAATTGAATTCTACTTTGGGAAGTGGTTATGTAGCAAGATGACACTGCTATAAAGTAAGTTTTAGTTATTTTTGACCTTGGTATTTCAAGTGACAGCGGTTCTCAACCTGTGGGTCGCAAACAATGAAAATACATCCTGCATATCAGATATTTACATTATGATTCATAACAGTAGCAAAATTACAGTTATGAAGTAGCAACGAAAATAATTTTATGGTTGGGGGTCACCACAACATGAGGAACTGTATTAAAGGGCCGCGGCACCACAACATGAACTGTATTAAAGGGTCACGGCATTAGGAAGGTTGAGAACCACTGCAAGGGAGGCTAAAAATTTAGTGTGGTAAAAATCATCATCCTTTTTATATGATTTTCCTCCTTGATGTAAGTTACTAAACTTCTCTGCATCTTGGCTTGCATAATACCAGCATTTTCCTCATCAGGTTGTTGTGAAGATGAAACAAGTTTTTATACATGACACAGAGAAGTGGCTGGCAAAGGGTGAGTACTCTGTACACATGTGATTACTATTTTCCTTGAGTCTTTATAATTGGACATTGATTTCCCCTCCAGATGCTATTTTAAACATCTCTCTGATATCCTTTAAGTCATGGAAAGAGTCTGTATCTGCCCTCATACCTTGGAGTCCTAAACATTAAGGGTTGTTGTTTATTTGTCTTTGCAACCCCAGTCTTTAGAACAGTGACTGGCTTATAGGATGTCAGTAAAACATTTATTGAATCACCTTCCCATAAAATTTCTGTATTACATTGACACTGTATTCCTTCCTGTTAAATCTGATATTGGTCTCTTTTTCTATATTGCCAACTTAAATGTTAAGAATGACTATTTTTAAAGATTTATGTGGTCTATTTTTATCCTTGAGTAAATACCAAGATTGTCCAATTATTTCCTATTTGACCTAAAGTTAGGAAGAGTCTACTCTCAGAACCAATTCCATATTTTCACATTTTAAGACTAAGCCATGTCATTTTGGCTTTGGAGGTCAAGATAAAAAGCATGTTATCCAACATTGAAAACATCTAAAATAATATTCCCTTTGCAGATAGTGGGTGGTGACTTACTCTTTTTGTCAGCTGAGTATCCATCATGAAGTTGTGCACGTGCTTTTCTGCTTTGGTAAGTTCTAGCTTCCTTGCCACTACAGCTACCACCAGGGCTGTGCAACCAGCACCCTAAAAACCAGAGAAAAGAGAAACCCAAAGAGTTATTACTTTTACTTTTCGTCTTAGC